CATTCCATGATAGGACAATTGAAGCTTGTGACATTGGTAATTGACAACGAGAGAAACACAGGAAGATATTGATTATGTTAATAATGACTTAATTTGCATAATTAATGAGAAAATTTTTATAATTATGTAATGATAACTGCCTGGAATTTCATACTTGTGGTATTTGAAAGTTTAGTTGAGGTGAACATCATTAAACATAATTTATTCAAATACGGACCTCATTTGCATAATTTATTATGAAATGTTAGAATGCATTGTTTGTTAATATAAGGCTGTCTTTTGGTTGAGATTATGATAAAATGATATAATTCATGAAAATTAGGTTCCTATTTCTTAAATCAGGGGGGAATAATCTAATCTATAATTTCAGTCATAAAGATTAACATCATTTGGCGAAGGTATGGGATCGGGGAACTCTAGTTTTGTTTACACTTCAAATATCTGCACAGCTTCAATTTACTTCCATACATAAGTACATTTCCAGTTTTTTGTACCACTTTCTGATCAACTGTTGACTAAAAACTATTCACATATCACTGCCATTATTTTCTTTACACTTCAAATATCTGCACAGCTCCAATTTCACCTACATTCATAAATACATTTCCAGTTTTTTTGTACCACTTCCTGATTAACTGTTGAACTTTTAGGAAAAAAAAAGAGCATGTCTGTAGTGTCTGTAATGAGATTTAGATTAAAAAATAACCGTAGCACCTACTTAAGAAAGCTATTCATTCTCCTTATCCCCGCTGAGAAAATAAGATGCCATCGCTCATCCCTGAAGTCCTGGTCTTCCATCTTCGTTATGTTCAATTGGCCGTTCTAAAGACTGGGGTGTGTTTCATTAGTCTTCTGTATCTGTATCAGTATAGCTGGTATAACCTTGTACTTGGTGACAGTGAGTTCCATTCTGCGATAGTTCTAGGAAAGAATGAATTGTTGAACACCTCAATCATTGGTTGATAACTCTGGTACTTGAAGGCATGGCTATTTCTTGTTCTCTTCTGGGCTGGTATTAGGTACTTAGTAGTTGGGACATCCACCAGTGTATTGCTTCACTACTGCAGGGCTAGAAATTCATTGTTGGGAATAGGTGCACTGGTATGGTGCACCCAACCTAAAAAAAATGGGTGCACAATTTTTTTGGGGGGTGCAACATATAAAACAAGATTATTAAGAAAAGTACTATAACAATGACTTTATTATTTTTCTAGTACTTAGATGTTAAGAATATGTTGTATACTACTATACATGTAGCATCTAAAATGTAAACCTACAAAAATATTTGGGTACCCTAGGGTGCACCCAGAGAAATAGATTGGGTGCACAGCTCCAAGTTTGGGTGCACTAAGGTGCACATGCACCCAGTATTTCCAGCCCTGGTACTGCCAAGCCCCACAACGTGTTTAGTCCACCAGACTAACAACATGGCTGCAAAAACAGGAGAATTTAGCCAAATAGAATAAATGTAATTAGCCAGTGGACTTTAGCTAGCTTCTACCAGGCTCTACGTCTGAAGCCTGGTAGAGGGCTGTCAACCTTCTCTGTCTGGACAAACAAACACACAAACCCACAGCTCAGCCGCCCAGAAACAATACTTCCGTACCTCCTACCAAGTTGAAATAACGCTACAGTCTCTGTGGCAGTTGTCCATACCTTATATGGAAGAGAAGGTGCCCTCTCCTGTTATTTATTACCATATCTGAAATGACCATTACGAGTTTCATGGCTCCCAAAGCTATCTTAGCTTTTCTTATAGGGGAATAGATCAAGTTGGTTGCCTGCTACATATACGTTAGGACCTCTCATCATTTTTGCGCAAATGCCAGAACCTTTGTATACGGGGAGCTTTCAGAGGTGTGGGTGGTTAATTCTGTAGCGCTGGAAGGCGGGATTTTACGGCGGATTTTTAATGCGGTTTGCCGGCGGTGGCCTCATTGTTTCGCAATGCTCGTTAGCCCTGACGAGGCTGGGTAATTCTAGTGTGATTTTATCGCATCAATTCTGGCGGACAGGGCCTCACTTGATGGCTGTAATTGGGAGGGCGAGCCGGTCGTAGGGGATTGATAGACGACTGACTGGTCTTCAATTTGGGTGCTTTGCAGGGAGGTACCATCATGAGGGCCTGCAGGGGGGTAACAGGGATTATGAATTACGCAAAATTTCATTACAGAGATATACAATAAATTTTTATTTTTCTCTAGATGTACGATAAAAATGTATTGTAGTCAGTGGAAAAATAAATAGAAGAACAATTCAATTTTCAGATGTTTTCGGGTACAACCCCCATGGTGTAGCTCAAATTGCATGGGGGTTAGTGATTTTGAATTACGCAAAATTTTCTCCGATTATGAACTATGTTAAATTCTCAGAGCTGATTACGGACAATTACACATTGTGGCTGATGTACTGATTACGAATGACGATGATTTGGGCAGCTGCCTACAGATTATGAACACTAAAAAGGCCTGATTACGCCTTACGAAAAAGGGCATGTAGGCCCTCCATGATGTAGCTTTGCATGTACCTGCCACATCTGAAGATTGAGTTGTTCTTTCTTGGTAATTATCTTCAAAAGACTCCAATATATTTTTATTTTTCATCTGCGTAATAACTCATAACAACAAACTGAGGAGTACATATAGCCCTGAGGGCACAAATAAAATACCACCAGTCCTGCATATGCAGGTTAGTGCAGGTAAAATTGTGCAGGTATTTCTGATTTCTACCTGCACCTAACCTGTACTGGTCCGTGTACTGGGTATATGCAGGTTAGTGCAGGTAAAATTGTGCAGGTATTTCTGATGTCTACCTGCACCTAACCTGTACTGGTCCATGTACTGGGTATATGCAGGTTAGTGCAGGTAAAATTGGAGACTGTGCAGGTATTTCTGATGTCTACCTGCACCTAACCTGTACTGGTCCATGTACTGGGTATATGCAGGTTAGTGCAGGTACATGTAGGTGGATTTTTATTTGCTTCATTGACTGTTACCACCTACGCAGCATACATGTAAAAGAAATAGAATATGGCAATGGTTCCTTAACAATTTTCCTTAATTCTGGGTGGTGCAGGTAAAATTTGTCTGGTGAAGGTGATTTTCAATGTTACTTACACCAGCGCAGGTAATACTATGCAGAAAAACGTATTTCAAGCCCTGAACTCTTACTGTTGCTGTACACCCCTACTGCAGAATGGTCTCTCCCCATCCTCCCTACCCTCCTATATATCCGCCGCACTGGTGCATGTGGTTGACCCAGTGAAACAGATACGCTGATACAGAGATGGCAAAATGATCCCGTAGGTGTAACGTGTATCTAAGATTTTCTTCTCTTGTTCCAGGACATTCTGCCGTCATTTCTAGTTTCATGGAATCCTGCAGGGAATTAGAAACAGGTGAGTTGGTAAAGATTATTCCTCAGCCTTTATATATATGTAACTGAAAGTGTTGATGCTAGCATTTCTACCTTTATGCAAGGCTGGGCTGACTTTTTGTGTGGCATTTTCTCATGGACAGGTCACTGATTCCAAATTACACATATATGTAAGCACACATAGAGTCAGCCAATATTTTCCATGTTTCAGATATTAACAGTTAATTTTTGTCTAATTTTGAGAAATGCTAATTCATGCTAATAAACACAACACACATGGTGCTTTCTAATGTAATTAAGCGTGTATTTAGTATCAATATTCATGCATGCCTACAATCAAATATGTTATGCTTTTACGTTTTTTTGGCTCCAAGAAAACCTGTGTACATGTTATCGTATTATGATCTGTGAATTTGACTCACGTTGCTCAAAAGATTATGATATCAGGAAATATTTGGATCAGAGTACCAGACAATATATTGATTTTCTTTTATGACAAGCCTGCATGTACGTGTATTTCTACTGTGCGCATTTAATATATATTTCAACTCCACAACACATTTGACATTCACCAAATTATATGCCTAAAACTGGATTTTACAACTTAGACTCATTTAATGGTCTGGGATCAAGAAGGATTTTATTTTTTATTGTAACTGCCAAGGTGTTACTTTGCTAAAATGTTGCAGGATTATATACGATTTAGCCCTAGGTGAAAGATTATGATTATGGGTCTGATTCTACCATAAAAATCAAATAGGGTATGCAAATCCGGTTCATGCAGATATTTCCTTATTCCATTTAGTTGGGGATTCTTATTCCTGGCAGTGACTATTTCCATATACATGTACCATATAGGCAAACTACATCACAGTACATGTAGGCCAGTTGCCAAGTGTGGGCACAGGATCTATCGACTGGTGTTCATTCAGTAAAACATAATCTAGTAATAGAATCTAAAAGGAAATGTTAAGGTTGAAATTCATGCAGGCGTCCTACATGACTATCCTGGGCAAAAATACAGAGCAAAATTTGCAGATAAACCAAGATACATTATTTTGTGGAGCTTCAAACAGAATCCAGGACTGTTAAATTTAAACCTGAAAATGATTTTGTTTAGTAAAACACTTTCTTAGGATTCAGAACTTCAATTGAATACATTTTGTTAAATGATTTTTAATCGTAATTTCGGATCATTTTACCAACTTGCAGCTAAAAGCTTGTAGAACTGGCAAGATTAATATTAATAGTCATAACAATTATTGCCCTTCTAGGAGACATCTGATAAACAGAAAACAGAATTCTGACTCTCATATTCAGTTGTCAACAAAATTGCACACAACTAAAGTAAAGGCCACACCAATTTAATTTGTAACAGTTGGTTCTCGGATTTTCCCAGAAAAAATATGAAGCGACAGGGCGAAAAAAAAATAAAAACAGGGTTAACCATCCTATTATGGCCCCAAATACAACGATAGGAGCCATGGAGTCAACATAAAAGGCAGGGTTATTATCTAAACAAATTGAATGAATTTTACACTTTTAATCAAACCACTGTATTAATAGATGGAAAAACTGTAACAACTAGGAAGAAATTGACTTTCCTCAACTGTTGGGGGCAAAATATGAGCATTTTTTACTAGTTGATTCAGATTTTTTTTTTTGCAAATCAGAACAAAATGGAAAGGTAAATCGTTCTGAGAACCAACAAATTAAATTGGTGTGGCCTAAATAAGAAGTGTATTTGCATCACAATCTGATACTAACTACAAAGGGCTTCAGGGATCCATAAATGTTAGAATATTATTGAGGTTTATGAGAGGCTGTATTGATTATTTGCTATTTTACAACTCTGGAATATTTCTGTTAGGTCTCATCATGACTTGTTATTATTTATTGTGTCTATAAAATTGCATCTGGTTCCCCAAGATACGAGTAATAATATTATGTTCTTTTCAAAACCTGGCACAAAAAATACACATTCTCAAATTACTGTTACAGTAGTAATGGAGGTATTTTGTATGCCATGGATCAATTCAAAACAATGTAAAACATTCAAAACTAAGCTATACACGATTTTCATTGATTTTTTTCCAGACCCTATAGGCGGAAGACTCGATATGGTAGTCATTTGTAATATCATGAAAGTTTGTCTGTGTTGATAGAAGTCATTATGAAAGTTGTAATTTCCAAGACAAGAAATTACTAATGTTCAACTGCTACTAGTCTGCTAGTAGAAACCATGACAATCTCTCAACAAGTTCTTGCGTTATCCTCCTTCAAACTTTAGATTTTTAAACAAACCCCCATGCACTTGGCTAGAGAATATTAAATGCTTCTTTACAGCAGTCAAGGACATTGTTGTAAAGAATTCTAAGAAGTGACCGGATACTATCGGACCGGAAACAAGAAATTATTAGTGTTCAACTGCACAGTAAAAATCATGACAATCTCTCAACAGGTTCTTAAGTTATCCTCCTTCAAAGATTTTTAAACAAACGCTCATGCACTTGGATAGAGAATATTAAATGCTTCTTTACAGCAGCCAAGGACATTGTTGTAAAAAATTCTGAGAAGTGACTAGAATAAAATTGATCACCCTATTAAACCCAGTTAGATGTCAGAAATCTCCCTGCCACACTTGTAAGCAGTAATTCATCCCTACAGCTGATGGACTGCCTGGCCGAGGATTTTGGCCTTGGACCAGAGAGTCCGCGGAAAAATTTATGGGGAAACACCATTAGCCCTCTGTAGATTGGAGAACAAAATTTGAAAGCCAAAGGTCTTCGCTATATCTTTTATTTATTTATTTATTCAAGCTTTGCCACAAGTGGAAGGGAAGGGAGAAACAGGTGGAGACCACCTTTACAGGCTCCCTCCCCAAAGACATAAATGACATTGCAATCAATCATAGTTAAAACTAATTAAACATATTGCACAACATCGTAAGTAGACAATAATAACAATATATATAATTGCACAATTTCATAATAGCTAGATCTCTGCACATGTACATCCGGCCGTGGAAGTGCCCCATGTCTACCGTGGCCTTATTGCCAGACATGTGGCACACCGACAAGCAGACGTCCACGTGCAGAGATTGTCAGTAACAAAATGATCATTAAATCTCTGACTTGGTCAGCGATTTGACAAGACCCCGTTTGAATGTTACAGTGTTGGACAGGAGGTTTGTGGAGTCTGAATTCGACAAAACATTTTGATTTTGTTGTAGCAGGCACCCTTTGGTGTTGGGTTACAATATGTAGCAAGTGGCAGGACAGAGTTGGAGGGACTGGTCACCATACATGTATGTGTGAATATTTTGGGGTCCCGGCAATTTCTTACAGAATGATTTGGACAGAGGGATTGTGGAGCCTGAATTCGACAGAACATTTTATTGTTATATGACAATAAGTTGCCCTCTTCATCGATACTACAGAACCATAAAAGCCAAAGAGCAGCTGGTTGATTCAAATGACAATCTCCAATCAGACGTTGGATGGCAAAATCATAATATTTTTCAGCTTCCTGATTTTTATGTTTTCCTTGTAGGCCATATTGTACCATGTGCTGTAGCAGGCACCCTTTGGTGTTGGGTTACATTATGTAGCAAGTGGCAGGACAGAGTTGGAGGGGCTGGTCACCATATATATGAATGTGTTTGAGTCCTGTCAATATCTTACAGATTTGGACAGAAGGATTAATATTGTAGAGCCTGAATTCAACAGAAGATTTTCCTGTTGTGACATTACAATAAGTTGCCCTCTCCATCGATAGTACAGAACCATGAAAGCCAAAGAGCAGCTGGTTGATTCACATGATAATCTCCAATCAGACGTTGGATGGCAAAATCATAACATTTATTAGCTTCCTGATTTTTATGTTTTAGATTACCTTGTAGGCCAGACATTTATTGTACCATGTGCTGTAGCAGGTACCCTGTGGTGTTGGGTTACATTATGTAGCAAGTGGCAGGACAGAGTTGGAGGGGCTGGTCACCATATATATGTCTATGAATGTGTTTGAGTCTTGTCAATATCTTACAGAGTTGGACAGATTCTTAGGTTTGTGGAGTCTGAATTCAGCCTGGGAACATTTTGATTGTTGTTTGAACATATCAATATAATAAGTTCCTCTCTCTGTAGATACTACAGAATCATGAAAAATAGATTTTATTAAGGGCTGCCACAGAAGGAAAACATAATATTGTTTTTTTTGGACATTTTCTTGAGGATTTTGAGAGGCTTTAGACTTTAGACAGACTGACTGATGGTTTCTGTCCTGTTCTTAGCCCTGAATTTCTGGACCATGTTATTAAATCAAAGGATATTTGTGCTCGGGGACATATTTCAGCTAATTGACCATTTATCTTTTGATCGTAAAATTTTAATATTGCTGTTGACATCGATATTGTAGAAATGGTATAATTTGTTTTACCAGGCTTGCCCTGGTATAATGTCAGCAGGGTTTTTTTTCAAGACAGAAAAGGTCTGAGAATATAGCCTCCATAGCATGCCAAAAACTGGGGGGTTTGGGGGTCTTCAGGGTCTTTGGGATCTTTTATGACATTGTGCTATTTTCTGATTGCATATAGACAACATAGCCGGCCTGGTTGAATTACCCCCATTTTTAGAACTGGGCTAATCAGAAAACAGCTGAAGACCACCAAACCCCCAGTTCTATAAGCCTGCTACGGAGGCTATGAGAATAAACAATTGAATTGGAGTGGTTTAAGTATCTGCTACGTGAAGTTCACATGAACCAAGTTAAAGATCAGGCATGACGGTGTTTATAATTTGATTTTCATACCCGTTGCCTCTAGATCTACTAGCTCAAAAGATGATTCAGAATAGAACTTAATTAATACACAGGGTAATTATGTTAAGTTTTCCTCATCATGGAATCCAAGTACTCAAGTTGATTTCCTTGTTTGGGTAACTGTATAACAGTATATTGTATCAGGCCCTCATGTGTCACACTGTGTCTTCATTACTTTCCCCATTTCTCATACTCACTGATGGCTACTGAAGTTGAAACTCTCCCGCAGCAGGGTTCAAAATACCACCAGCATGTGCAGGTTAGTGCAGGTAAAATTGGATATTTCTGATGTCTACCTGTACCTAACCTGTACTGTACAAATGTAGGTACAGTCATGTAGGTGTATGTGGATTTTTATTTGCTCCATTGACTGTTACCACCTAAAATGAAGTATAAACATTAAGGAAATTATGCAATGATTTCAAGACAGTTTTATGAAAGTGTGATCCATACTTCATTTAGTATATCAGTGTCTTGCTATATTTTCTTGTGAGAACACTACTTTGTGCATTACTTGCCCTTTTCATTTGAATTCTCCTTGAAATGCTGATTCATGTATCATTATGTTTGCTTGATATTAAAATGAAATTATGCCAAGATGTTTCTTATTATGTCATGAAAATCTCTCTAAATATCATCCGCACATAATCTGTGATGAGGATATTTTGGGTAACAATATTTGATAAGCAATGATACTGCCTGGTTCGAAAATTAGATTATGGTAATATTGAAGTCGCTCGTATAATTTGTATGGAAGCTATTTATGGTTTTCGCTCATATCTGATTATAAGTTATGATGCCAACGTAGAATATAGGATCAATCCGGCAAGTTTCCCTTAAATTCTGTTCAAATAATATATGATAACGATTAATAATGCTTGATTTGTAGTACTGCAGTTGTCAAGATGAAATATTAGATTTGGGTTTCTTGAGTCCCTTGGGCTGGTTCTTTTTTTCTTGTCAAGTTGGCATAACAAATTTCATAAATCTATATAGGACTCCTCCTGACATTAGAATGACGACCATAAAGACGTCAATGAGGTAATGCAAGATTGGAAATTCCACCTGTATATTCAGGTTAGTGCCGGGAAAATTGGAGCTGTGCGGGTATTTCTGATGTCTACATGTAACATTACCTGCACCATGTTACATGTAACATGCACCGGTCAGTGTACTGGGGTTATATGTACATGTAAAATGTAGATTTTTGTTTGCTACATTGAATGTTATATAGATGAGAAATGATGGCAATGTTTTCTGAACAGTTTTTAGTTCCAAGTGGTGTAGGTAAAATTTGTCTAGTGCAGGTAATTTTCAAGCATTGTTACCTGCACCTGTGCAGGTACATGTATGCAGAAAAAGTATTTCGATCCCTGTAATATGAGAGATCCAACCTTGTTCCACTTCTGTGATGGATGCTCCCCCTGGAGGGAGTCATGCTAAACAAGGTTTTCTGCTGAACCTGGGAGTGTGATCAGCATTCTAAACCTTTACTCATTTTATTATGGCTGTGTCAAACATATTTAACCGTAGATCGTGGTATTTTTCCTGTCATTTTGGTTTGCCTGACTTATTGATATTTCAGAGCATCTTCGATGGTTTATATGCATGACTTGTGTGTGTGTGTGTAATGTCACATGTAGCTTGGGTTAATGTGAGGTGGCATTGTAGCCATGTTGATAAAACCGTCTGGAGCCTGAATATACAATATTTCATGTTTAATCTTTTAAAAATAGCTAACTTGGGAAATTTCCTTCTAAATATCATGATAAGTTTGACATACAAATAATGTATTTGCCAATTATGCTGTACACTAATTCAATATTTCATTTCATACACAGATAATGTAGACAGGTGACAAAGCAATTATGGATGTTGTGTTGCTCCATTTTCTGTGAAAATCTGTGCTCCTCACGTTGAACAGATATACACCAGTCTGGCTCTTTACTTTTTCTCAGATATCTGTATTTTGAAGCTGTAGAGATATTCTTTTATGTCATCGTGCCCAAAACTTCCAAGATGCCTAACTGAATTTTTCATTTCGTACACAGATACAGTATTACACTCAGATGATGAAGCAATCCTTTACTTTAAGTCACTGTACCAAAAACTTCCAAGATGCCTAATTCAATTTTTCATTTCATACAGATAGTGTAGAGGGGTGACGAAGCAGTCATTTTACGTCGTTGTGCCAAATCCTTCAAATTCCAAGATGCCAAAAGCCATTCAGAAAACCAGTTACTATACTTAGCCTAGTACATGTAGTATGTTGTGCTAATTCAATGTTTCCTTTCATACTCAGATAATGTAGACTGGTGACAAGCCAATCCTTTTTGTCGTTGTGCCAAAAACGTCCAAGATGCCAAAAGCTACCCAGAAAACCAGGCACGCTGATCGCTCTCCGACGACCGAGAGCGAATCGCTCAGCGGCACGAGCAGTTTCAGTGTCAGCCATCCCAAGAACAAGAGCACGGAAAGCGTCGAAATGAAGCAGGAAAGACTCCCTCGGCCAACCAACTTCCACAACTGCAGTCTTCACGACGGTCGGGACATGGATCCGCAAGCGGGAAGTTCTGGCACGCTACCTACGATAAGCGGCGTACTTAACCTCAACGAGCAACCAATCGCACCGGCCAATCACAGCCAAACGCTGAGGCTCACGAACCAATCACCTGTCACCGATTTGAACCAGATCCATTCAAACTACCGGACTGTCACACTCACGGGAACGATCACGCGCGGGAAGAAACGTGGCCAAATGGTCGACATCCAGCTCGATCTGACGGATAAAGAAATAGCAGAGCTGAGCACGATAAGTGAAGAAAAAGAGGAGGAAGAAAACACACCAAAAGACGATTGCATCTGGGGGATCAACAAAGGCATCCACATCTTCATCTGGAGCGTGCTGTGCTTTCCTGTCGTGTTTGTGATCGCTTTTTTCGTCGCGTTCTACTATGGGACAATCACGTGGTACAACATCTTCCTTCACTACAACGAGGAGAGGACTTTTCTCCACAAGGTCAGCATTTGTCCGTTACTGATTCTGTTCTACCCCATTTTGATTGTGGTCGTATCTCTCGGGCTGGGAGGATACTCTGCGTTTGTGCAGTTGTCCTGGTACTGCGACAGTTGGCGAGAGGATGTGGGTGACTTTGAGAAAGGCTTCTTCGGCTGGATGTGTAGCAAGTTGCGACTGGACAGTTGTTCGCCGTACGACGTTGTTGAACTCACGACTCCCGAAGCGGAAACCTTAGCACAACAAGACCCAGCAAGCCCGCCGCCACACTCTGAGTCTACTGTGTAGATATCTTCTCCTTAAATAATTTCATCAGGTTGGTAGGACATAGGATATTGGGGTTTTCTTTTACACATGTACAGTCAGTGCTTCTCTCACCTGCTTATTACGTTTCAGTGTCTATCAGACATCTTCATCAGTAGTCTTGTACTGACTGGAGTACTCAGCTTCTTGCCACTACAAATGTATGTAACCAATGTATAGGGAATACAAACTTTTGGGATTGTGTTGTCGCCACAAAAGCGACACCTACTTCGGCTACATATAGCGGCGAGAAGCAGAACTCCAGTCAGAAGCTCTGAGGAAGGTGTCTGATAGACACCAAAACATAAGCAGGTGAGAGACATTTACTGGTTGTGTAGAAGAAAACTGCTATATCCTACAGTGTAGATATTTTGTATCAACTACATTTGTACATTGTACATGACAACTTGAATGTGCAACTGTCTACAAAACACTACAGTTTGAAACTTGTCTACTGATTGGTATAATTCTTACAACACCATTGAGAATTACATACTTGAGTCTGAAAGTGAACTTTTAGTTAACTGTGCAGGGTCAAACTTAATCTGTCTGGAAACTGTGTGGACCTATCCTGTGCCTCTCGTATGTACAGTTAGCTACTAGGTAGTACTACTATAATGTGCTTTCTAGTTATTCAGTATTGAGAGTGTATAGATGTACATGTACAACAAAGTGACTGTATGTTTGAATGTGTGGATGAAACAATCTTCATTGGAAGACGAAAAAAAAAAAACTACACGTTCTTAAAAAAAGGTGCAAAATAAGAATCTCCAAGCAGATCCCACCGTGTCAAGGCAGTAACAATTAGCAGTGACCATTAACTGCTTGGCCAATAGTTACTGCTTAATGCCAACCGTAGGATCTGCTAAGAGACTACAAAAAGAAAGAATTTTCAGGGTACTTGCTGGGACATCACCTAGTTGTGCCATAAACAAAGAATCTACAGTGAATCTTACATAGGTTTGCATGAGGTCTGTGTTAGCTATGTCAGTAGTCCTGTCACTGAACCAACAACACTGAATTGAGTTGAGTTGTACAGATCCAAGTGTAGAACAAAGTCAGATTCCTCTTGAAAAAGGTGTCAAAAGTGATTGATCTTCTCATTGTACCTGAAGTCTTGTTTAGTGTTGTGCCAACCGTTGACTTCCAAGTACATTTAATGTACGAGGGCCTGCATTGGGGGTAGTGATTACGAATTACGCAAAATTTTCGCCGCCGATTGAAAATTACGTTAAAGTCTCAGAGCTGATTACGACTTTACGCTTTGTGGCTAATGTCCTATTATGAATTACGTCGATTTTTGCGGAGGCTGCCTACGAATTACGAAGTCTAAAAAGGCCTGATTACGCCTTACAAAAAAGGGCATGCAGGCCCTCGTGTATGGATGCATGTATATCAAGTAACGTAGCCTGAAGTCCAGCCCAAGCTAGTCCATGCTGCCAAAGCTAATAGTGCTGAGTTTTGGGCTACAGGTAAACTGGTCATTGTGAACAGTGAAAGACTAGCATGTCAGCACCCCTAACTAGATTAGTTTCATTTATGTTCAGTCTTCAGCCATTTTCACTTTGAGTTAGCCTGGGTACCATCCTGGTTAGTTTTAAGTCCGCTCCCACAGTCAGTTGGTCAGTAGCGACTGTGGGAGCGGACATAAACTGACCAGGGTGGTACCCAGGCTAACTTTGAGTTGCATATTTCGAAAAATAGCACTAAAGATTTTGTATCTATTTGCCAAGAAATATCAATGCTGTGTTGTAAAAAGGTTGTGGAACTATTGTGAAAAGTTGACAAAGAAGAGAAAGAAATCTCCAGGTCCATTTTTACCCATACATGTATTTACCCATACATGTATAAAATTATGTACATCTTCGTTTGTCATGCCTAACTGAGGTAAAGCATGTATATGTACAATATACAGTGTAGCTGTAAAGTGGTTCAATTTAGTGACCTATCTGGAAAATTGGAGTGCTTTGGGTCACTGTAAAAACTGTAATATGCATCTATTGGTCTGGGAAAATTTATTTCACTGAAAGGAAAGACTACAATCATGTAGCTGCTTTATGTAAACATTGTGGAATTATAATAGCTGCAAAATCTGGTCCCACAAATTGACACAGTGCAGTAGATTGCTGTAATTCTTTATTCAGATATGCTGCTCCCACATGCCTACAATTTATGCTGAAATTTCAGTACGTGCCACTTAATATGTATATTAACATGTACATGTACGATACATTAGACAATATTAAACTTATGACTGTGGAAATGTGAAATCAGGTTCAACCCTCAAAAGTGTCATTGTAAGCTGCAAATAAGGTTTGTATCATGATTTGGCAAAGCAATGTAAAAACATCTAAAATCATGTTTTTCCAGTATATGGAAACATTGAATATCTCTACATTATTATATTTCGATGGTCTGAAATGTATTCATACAAGTAATTGATGCCCAAATCATTGATAACTTTTTATTTAGATAAGTCAAGAAAGTGTTATAGTCCTGACGTACAGTCTAGTTTTCTGATTGTTATAAAATGTTGCAAAGCCAAATCTACTTAATGAGTACATGTGTGGCATTTTGGCTTATAAACCTACATGCTATTCCATTCTCCTTTTTTGTGACAGGCCATGATTTTGTATTTTGTATACTTTAATAACGATTGGGACATATTGCCAATGTTTGTGCCATAACATGTCATCTGAAAGATTATCTAATACAATTGTAATGTTATATGGGCCATGTATAATTTTAACTTAGATTTAATCTCTTTGAGCACTATGTATGCATCAATGTAACAATTGCAAAAGTCTTGAACAAGTTTGTAACAATTGCTTAATAATGTATATTTGGTATTTTCAAATTAAAATTGTAGATGGTAGCTTGCTAAATACAATTATGTCACTGAATGAGATATACTGTACATGTATTCAATTGTGCATTGCCACTAAAAAGTAGCTTTGAAATTTGGTAGGAAGAATTTTATGCTTAGCTTTTTATAATTTTTATATGATTAAAATGCCATCATTAAGCCAAGCTCTTTGATTATGACCATTTTTGCAAAGTACTAGTATGCTCAACCAGAAATATAGTAGGAGTTACCAATAATGTAGAAATATGCCCGTTATTTGTAAGAATGTTGATCCTAACAATGACGTATGCATCTGTTTCTGTAGTCTGATATTTGGACGCAGATGAAGAATGAGCGCGCACCGAATGTGCAGCTACTTTTCCCCCAACACTGTTTGACCTTGGTGGTTTATCACACAAAATGGAGACCGGTGAGAAAAAGACTGGAGTTCCGTGACCTCAATATCAGCAAAGGTCACAGATGTCCAGCCACATTTGAAATGGCCTTTCTGATGGACTGTGGTTACAAGGGAGGGAACAACACTTTTGATGTGCAGTATACGATACCGGCTAGAAGGACGGAGGACTGAAATATATTATTAAACTGCAGGCAAAATGAATTAGGGCAAATTTTGCTCCATACAGATTTTGGGCTGTAAAAGTGGCCCATTCATTTTAGATTCGCCGCCGCGTTTTTTCTCAGGGTCGTGACAAATTTCTTGGGGTGGTCCATACTTAGTTCTACTTTTACTTTGCAGTGAGGCCATGTTGATTTGATTATATGGATGACATCCTCTGGGAACCCCAAAACTGATGCGCGCGTGCGAATAAAAAAAAAGTTTTGCAACAAAAAAAAAGTTGCTTTCACTTTGAAATCTACGTGGTCATGAAGGTTGAACAAATGGCACAGAATATGTTATGGCGAATAATCTACTCTTCGAATTCATTTCTTTACAATTTTGTCTTTTTTCCTTTGATTTTGGCATTCTACGACATTGGTATCGTTTCTACATGTTTTCCTTGCAACTTATGGTATATTTTTGCTCATTTAGCAACTGTTTTGCACGATTTACAGTATGGTTGAAAACTTTTTTTTTTTTTGGAAACGGCCGAAAATTCATGCGCGTGCGGATGTCATCCATATAATCAAATCAACATGGCCTGAATGGTAAGAAAAACCATCAATTTCAATGTCAAGTTGAGGCTAAATCGATGCATATTGCGACCTTGCAAGGACAATTGTAGCCTATGCAAAGAAGAAAAGATAGATTTTTTTTATTCTTTATTACAATGAATACATACATCACTTACAAAAGACACTTACATGTGATACAGTGAGAAAATATCTAAAATCATGAGCATCATTACATCAGTTGTCCAACTCCTGCTTAAAAATATTTTGTTTCATCTATATATGTATGTGGGCTAGTGATTGAATGGCAGTAAATTTCAATATCAGACTGATGTCCACATCCAATTGCACAGGATTCCTGTAAAAATCCTTGGTCTTATCTAGTATGCCCCGTGCAAAGTGTCTGTGGACCTAATTCCCGTGAATTTAAGGGTTCAGCCAGGAAGGCTGGCCAGTTGCTTATTTTGTATAGTTGTATGGTTAGTGGGTGGTACCTAAGAAATAAGTAAATTTCAATATCAGATTTCCTCATCCAATTGCACAGGATTCCTGTAAAAAAAACCTTGGTCTCATCTCCTATGCTCCGTGCAAAGTGTCTGTGGACCTAATTCCCGTGAATTAAAGGGTTCAGCCAGGAAGGCTGGCCAGTTGCTTATTCTGTATGGTTAATGGGTGGTACCTAAGAAATAAGTAAATTTCAATATCAGATTTCCTCATCTCATTGCACTGGATGCCTCTAAAAAAATCCTTGATCTCATCTAGTATGCCCCGTGCAAAGTGTCTGTAGACCTAATTCCCGAGAATTAAAGGGTTGAGCCGAGAAGGCTGCCCAGTTCTTTAACCGTAATGAAACGTGCAGGAATTGATCTGCGTTATCCACGTCTGGACACGGCATTGACGCCGGCCTTGGAAATCTGCGGAATCAATTTTTCAACTTTTCTGGCAAATTAGATTTCGGACAAGGATTTCGGCAGCAGCATAGTTGGAAATGGGAATATTCATCAACCAATCAAATTCCATGTTTCAGTATTCCTGTACAATAAAAAGGAGTACAATAAGCTTTAAGAGCAGCAAACTGTACTCCTTTAGCGGACACACACACACTCACTCACACACACACACACACACACACACACACACACACACACACACACACACACACACACACACACACACACACACACACACACACACACACACACACACACACACTGACATTTTAACTGCCTATTTCGCCAATTTCTACTTTCCAGCCGCCTAGCAGAGACGTTCTGTTGGCAGTAGAATGCTTGACGCATGTGTTTTGGGCCAGTCTCCGTACACGGAGGGATGACTCCCGTGTGTGGGCGGCACGGGTGATGGAACTACCGCCCCGGATATCCACGGGTTAAGGCCAGGTGTAATTTGTCTTGGAGAAATCTCCCTAAGCCCAGGCTCCAGGTTATAGATAGGTCTTCCTCTCGTGCTCCGAGGCAAGGAAATGAAATTATGCACTGGCTGAAGGCCTCCTCGGAAAGAAACGTGGAATGGTACATACGCTGTTCGATGTGTTCGAATTTGATTCTTTAGATCCCTGTTTGATGTGACGTAAATTAGTAAGAATCGCATGTATTCCGTGTAATGGATCGTATGTATTCCGTAAACTTCGTATGTTTCTAGTAAGGATCGTATGTACTCCGTAAAATTCGTATGTTTCTAGTATGGGTCGTATGTACTCCGTAAAATTCGTATGTTTCTAGTAATGGATCGCATGTTTCTAGTAAGGATCGTATGAATTCCGTAAAATTCTGATAAATTCTCTGGCACCCCTGTGGATGGATGACTATTTCCAAATAAAAGCCTTGGAAAAGTTGGGTATTTACAGAAACGGGAATACATCATGCAAGATGAGGAAATTTTCCTGTCAAAAAAACACAATTTACCTAGATTTAAAAATGACTTTCTACTGGTATATCTTAAAACAGAAGAGATACTATGAGCTCAGTTACTGCTTCATTTTCATTTTTTTTCAGAAAAAATATCCGAATTTTGCAGCAGACGACATACAGTTACTCTGCACTTCTCAGAATTTTGCTTAAAAGCTTATGATTTATGAAATGTCCACAACTTATGAATGGGCTCCTGCTACAAAGAGGCGACCTAATGCAGGTTTCCCAAGTGGCAATTCCTCTGCATAAATACCGCCTCCGTGTGAACGGCAGTTATCTCACTGTGCCAGACTTGCTCTCCATTAGGCAAAACCAATTTCATTTGTTGGTTCTCGGATACGCCCGCTTCATTTTTTTCTGATTGCAAAAAAAAAAAAAGATTTATGTTCTGAATCAACCTCAAAATGAATGTGTTCTGTACAAACATTTCTGATCCGTCTTAGAAAGCTCTCCTTTAAATAATTTCTATGATAATAGAATGCGCTGAACGTTTTGTGCAATGGGAAAATTTTCTATGTCCATGTGTAAGTTTTGTAATCAGGGATTAATCTAAGGCTGTCTGTATGGGGTAAATGGCTATCAGAGAAATTGAGCTTCACCCAGAAAATCTTCCACCCAATAACTGCTTGGAGATTCTCTAGCACCCACCCCATTTGGTAATGTCGCAATGGATCAAAAGCGAACCATAACGGTGAAAAGAACCACTGCAGCTTAGCCAACATATTGCTGCAGTCCTTCGTTTTACTGCTAGAGGCCGCTTTTGATCCATGCACTTCTACGTATATTTAGATAAACCTTTGCTTCCCTACTAAATTTATTAAGTTGAGAATGATAAGGATAAAAATTGATTTCAAATTTGTAAGGTAAAGCCATAATCAAATCATTGTAGTTTTCAGGCATGCGTGTGTAATGAGTGTTTATTGACCTGTTGTTAATCTTATTTCAACTTGATTATCGAATTGTGTGTGAAACACGCCGTTCCAAGATGGCAAGTGTGCAACTATTACATTTCTCACTGAAACAATGTTGAAAATAAAAGTGGTGCTGAACATGCCTTCCACACACAGGAAAACCTGTCCTTGGTGCTGAACATGCCTTCCATACACGGGAAAACCTGTCCTTGGTGCTGAACATGCCTTCCACACACGAGAAAACCTGTCCGTGGTGCTGAACATACCTTCCGCACACAGGAAAACCTGTCCTTGGTGCTGAACGTGCCTTCCACACGCAGGAAAACCTGTCCTTGGTGCTGAACATGCCTTCCACACACAGGAAAACCTGCCTTAGTGCTGAACATGCCTTCCACACACAGGAAAACCTGTCCTTGGTGCTGAACATACCTTCTACACACAGGAAAACCTGTCCGTGGTGCTGAACGTGCCTTCCACACACAGGAAAACAAAATTACAGTGTTTAAGGTAGGAAAACTACTAGTAATCTCTCCAAAACTACTATTTCCACAATTATCAAAACAGTTGCTGTCATTTGATAAAGAACTGGGATTTTTGTTCAATAGTAAACAAATGCCCCTTCAGTACCAACCAAAGCCGCTAGGAGACCCAAAATCTAATTGTTTCTTCCTCTCACACACTCTACCCACATGCCAAATATCATTATGATATCATCATTGCCTTCTCAAGTTATGCTGTTGACACACACACACACACACACACACACACGCGCGCACACACACACACATACACACACACACACACACAAACACACACACACACACACAAACACACACATACAAACACACACTCACACAAACATCGTCACTACAGTGTATTGTTATGTTACACTATATTGGTTATCAGTTAAATTGACCCTAAAGGTCGTGACCCTAGTAGAGGTCACCTCGTGTCCGCCATTGTTTGTTGTTCCTTCGAGGTCTTCTCGTCTCCGAATCGCATCTTGTTGTTTCGAGTCGTCGACTGCGCACAGCCAAGAAAACATAACCTTCTTGTCAAAGGTAATAATGCAAGAATATTTTAAGACATTACTAGTTTTCACACAGACACACACACACACACACACACACACACATACACTCAAATTGCATCCAACTTGACACGTAGAGTTGTTTCAAAACATTCTTTAATTGATATACAAAACTATTTCATTTACGTTGGAAGCATGGCTATTATTATATACATTCAAAATAATTACATTTAGTACTTTAGAAACTTTTTATATAGCTAAATGTTCTCTAGTCATTGAAAAACATTCTAAAAGACACGGGTTTGGAAATACAGTAAAGTTGGATCAACGCTCAAATCAAAATGCTGGCAAAATCAATTCTCACGTAGGTCAGTTATGCCTGTGATATAAGACTATGCTATATGATACCCGGTGTATTTTATGCAAGAATTCCCCTTTGTTGCAGAAAACTCTACTACCAATATGAAATAGAGATGCATACCTAAACCCAATTTTAGGTTCAGGTCCGGATTCAAGTCTAGAGGTTTAGGTTCAGTTCCGGACTTGTATTTTTGTTGTAAGTCCGGACCTAAACACATGGCATATACAAAGTTGCATGTTGGCAACCTTGCAATGTTGTCTGGGTGAAACTTTGGCCACATAACATGGAGGCCGGTACTTGACAATGCCCGATGGTAATGTTTTCTTCATTTCGCAGCAAAGATTTTGCAATCTACAGAAGGTTTTAGGTGGTTTGGACAGAAAAGGGGTATGTGAAATGGTCTTTTATGGTAATAAGTCTGGACTCGGTTCTTGACTTTTACTAGTTTTAGGTTTTTTTGGACTTGAACCTAAACATTCTTACAAGTCCAGATCCAAGTCCAGTGAACCGGTATGCATCACTAATATGAAACATGCATTTATACATGCCCTGTTTGTTTACAATGTACGCATATGTCCTGCAGGTTACAGAGAACCATTATAAGCTACTACAGGCAGATGACCCTTGTCAAAAACCAGCAATTTTCACACCAAGATCAAACCATGATTGCAGATTCGTCTACCAAAATGTGTTACACATCCATAATTAGAATCTATAATTTTTTCGGAATTACGTTTTTGAAAAATTTTGATTGTTTTGCAGTGCATAGATTATGAAAGTTTGCTGTACAGGAAGATACAAGACAAATAAGAAAATATCTTTAAAACTTTCAGAAGAGTTTTTGATGGATCAATAAATAGATTGACTGATTGTCTTCTTTACAAGCCTTAACTATTTTTTGCTGACAGTACTTTTAAAAGCTCACATCAAAACATTAACATACTGTTACACAAATGCAGGTAATTTACAATAAACATCACAGAGCACACAGTCAAATATAGCTGTCATGTACATGTACATTCTTAACCTCCTACACAAGTTTTACGTTGTTGACATATGTACAAGTCAAGTTGCTGTTTACTTTTAAAAAATCAGAATATGTGCCTCCAAAAGTAATTTCAACAGGTTGACAGAACATAGGTTATTGGAGGTTTCTTTTTACACAACCATTAAATGCACATTCCTCAAAGCTTCAAACTTAGCGAAGTTTGAGATTGTGTTCTCGCTACAAAAGTGCCACATATGTAGCCTCCATAGCATGCCAAAAACTGGGGGTTTGGGGAGTCTTCAGGGTCTTTGGGAGCTTTTACGTGCTATAGTCTGATTGTATATAGACAACATAGCCGGCCTGGTTGAATTACCCCCATTTTTAGAACTCAGGGCTAATCAGAAAACAGCCGAAGACCACCAAACCCCCAGTTCTATAAGCCTGCTACGGAGGATACCACATGTGCATGTTCATCGGCTACATATAGCAGTGAGCACCAAAGCAGCACTACAGTCAGAAGCTCTGAGGAAGGTGTCTGATAGGCATGGAAATGTAAGGAAGGTAAGACACTCCAATATCCTCAGCATATGCCTGTTTCCCAGAAGCTGTCACTGTTATGTTGTGATCTGGCATGGTACTAGTAGTTAACCTTTTGCATGCCAAGTTACTGACCATCACATTTACAGGTGCAAGGCATAACAAGGGTTAAAAAGCCATGCCCATAAAAGCTAGGATGTTTATGTGGCAATTCTGTATTATGGCATTTACATGAAGAACATATGAGAAAAGTAACACTGACTATAGTTTAAACATGGTTGGGCGACTGTTAGGTACATGTAGAAAACTCTTAGCCTCCACCAGGCCTTCTTGAAGGGTGTTAGGATAGTACATTTGTAGAATTAAGCAAAAGTAGGGTCTGACTGGCCAGGAGAGTGGGTCTACCGTTAGGGTTTTTTAATTTCCCCCTTTCATAAATGACTAAACTCCTCTGACTCATTCTCTAATCTCCAATAAATCCTAGGGTGGCAAAAGACAGTTGTGTATCAAATTGGCCAGGCAGTATCCATTCACCGAAGAGGGTCCAATACACCACCCACTCTGGCTAATAGATACTGCCTGGCCAATTTGATACTGTTTTTTGTCCCAAGGATCTGTTTGGAGACTAGTTATTCTCCCTATTTGGCTAAGAATCATGATACTGTTTTTAAAACACGTGGTTAGTCTGATGGAGACTAAGAAATTACTCTTATGCTAACAAAAGCCAGGATTGGTGTGTTCGATGATGCATCTCTTACAGTGTCTCTTCACGAATCGGTACGCCTCTGTAGATATCTTACAGTCCTGGATGTTTAGCATCTGAAGGTCCGTACAGTTCGCCGCGATCATCTGAACACCCCGATCGGTGATCCTCTCACACGACTTCAAGCTCAGCTTCTTCAGAAGCGGACAGTTTAGTGCGAGAACTTCCAATCCGCGATCCGTTACAAGCGAGCACTTGCCGATGTCCAGCGACCGAAGCTTGTTGCACTGACGCGCGAGGTACTCCACTCCAGTGTCCGTCACAAGCTCGCATCCTCGGATGTTCAAGTATCGCAACTTCCCGCAGTATTTCGTGAGCGACTTGATCCCAACGTCTGTGACCTGATCGCAGTGAACCACGCTCAGGTAGCGTAACTGCGCGCCGAGTTTGGCTAACTCCCGGATCCCGAAATCGGTCACTCTTCTACAGTCCGACACGCTGAACTCCTTCAACATTGCGCAGTTGCTTGCGACGTACTGGACGCCTAAGTCCGTGATTCGGACGCACCGCCGTAGGTACAGGCGCGTGAGTTCGCGACAGTTGCTGGCGATGACTCTGAGACCAGCATCTTCGAGTCCGTAACAGTCCGTCATGTCCAGGTACTGGAGAGAGATCTGTTTACCGTGGAGTGGGCAGGCTCGCATGGTGGCCTCTGGTGTCAGAGCGATACAGGTGATACACGGACAACCTGTGAAAACAGTAGACACATGTCAGCAACTCTAATGTTTCAACGGTTGTACATTTGAGAGTGTTTTTTTCAAAGGAACACAAATGACCATGTGTCATGTGAATCTCACATTTTTCTAATTCATTAACGATTAATCTGGAAATTCAAGTGAATTCATCAATCCTAAGTGACATAATTCATGGACAATTTATAGACAGTTTTTTTTTCATCTTTTTGGCAAATGACCAGAAATTCCCATATAAGAAAGATATTGGTTTGAGAATAAATGAGCAAATCTTTACTACAGTTATTTTATTGACAGTTTACTTAATGGGCAATGGCAAGAATTTCAGAAATGAAAATTCAATACTAATATTTCAAGCAGTCTTCTTGAATTGGTAACAGAGTTCAAACTCTTATGTCCATGATTAATACTTTTCCATAAGGTCCTTCGTGCTTGTTGAAATGCCAGTCAATGATAGAATATTTAGATAAGTGCTGAATAGAATTCCTCCATGCTAACATACCCCTTAGCCATCCTCATAAATGTCACATAGTATTAGCCTCTGCAGCAGGCTTATAGAACTGAGGGTTTGGTGGTCTTCGGCTGTTTTCTGATTAGCCTCCGTAGCAGGCTTATAGAACTGGGGGTTTGGTGTACTCTCCAAGCAGAGGTTGTGGGGGAATGATCGTTACATTTTTATATATGGCCGTTTTTTTGTCCTGACCCCTGTCGGTGGCCGCGGACCTTCTCTGGCTAATGGATACTGCCTGGCCAAGTTGATACTGTCTTTTTGCCACCGAGAGGGATCTGCTTGGAGATTAGGTTTGGTGGTCTTCGGCTGTTTTCTGATCAGCCCAGTTCTAAAAACGGGGGTAATTCAACCAGGCCGGCTATGTTGTCTATATGCTAGCAGAAAATAGCACATAAAGGATCCCACGCAAAGACCCTGAAGACCCCCAAAACCCCCAGTTTTTGGCATGCTGTGGAGGCTACCCTTAGGCCTCCCTCATAAATGTCATAGAGTATGGCAGAAATTTATGACGGCGTGTTTTTGCTCCATCGTTTACATTCCTTCCCGAAGTAATATTATCCCTGTGTTGTTTTCATGGGTCCATCTGCCGTTGTGATTTATTATTGACCCAGACTTTCTGCCATGCCTCTATTGCCTCTCGGCATTTCGACGTCTCATTTATATGTTTACTGTATGCAGGGTGGGATGGGACAATGCGCCGTTGTGTGTTGGTTCGTAGTTGTCATTTGGGTCATTGCTATCACTAACGGGTGTGAACGGCTGCAAGGTGGTTTCACACGCAAGGCTGGATTTCAAGGGAGTCTGTTCTGCCCTTCAGGACTTGATGAAGTAACAAAGTGTTCTTGTTCGATCAAGAGTATGGTCTCGTACATGTAGATGTCTTTGAAACAATTTATGCAAAACATTTCTGAACATAAAGAATGCAGAAAATGTTAGTTGAATATTCCAATTTCTCTCACACACACACACACACACAAACTTTCTTGTGCCTCACTTTTTGTCATAAAAGCCTGAGCCGTGATTGGTTGATACAGATTCTGTTTCCACCAATCACAGCTCATTACATCATGATCGACAAAAAAAACAAACACCCATTCCCTGATTGGTTGAAACAGGCTTTGATTCAACCAATCACAGCTCATTACATCATGACAGAAAAACCCACCTGTTCCCTGATTGGTTGAAACAGATTTTGATTCCACCAATCACAGGTCATTACATCACAACAAACAAAAACACCTGTTCTCACCTGTAATGTCAAGGTGTTGCAGGTTTGGACACCTGGAGACGACTTCATAAAGCGCTTCATTTGTGATGTTATAGCAACCGGCGACTTCCAACGTCGTCAACTCTGGGCACCGTTTCGCGATCACGTGCAGGCCCCTATTGGTCAGTTTCTCACATCCGCTCAGCTTTATCCTCTCCAGCATGAGACAAACGTTGGGCGTCTCCCTCGAAAGCCGCCATGTTAGAATTCTCAGCACGCGATCGATGTCCAAGTTTTCGTTTGACATCTCGATCTGAGTCCACAGATGCGGCTCCCACGAAAGATCGTACCACCTGCGATCGACGCACGCGCATTTACACAACTGGTCCGTCGGGAGATACGAGAAAATCTTCACCACAAGATCGTCCGAGAGTAGATCAAATGGAGACAACCGTCTGTCCTTGCCCAGTTTTTTGTCTGAGGGGTACGGGATGGTGCCATCGCCGTTTACGTGCACGCTGGCGTAGACTTTGTGGCTGTGGGAGATCGCGGGCTTCAGGCCATTACGCGGCTGGTAGAGCTTCCTTGGAGGGTAGGGAGGGATCATCTCCGTCTCTTCTGCAGAAACAAGACAAAGACAAGTGTGATTTAGCAGCAGTTACTGGGTGGGGGAGTGGGGGATTTTAGCTTGGATGTCAGACACAGGTCAGCCTCTAATGTCTAAGAGTTAGATGTTCAAGGATTAGGTGTAACAAGTCGATCGGTATAATGTAGCCAGCTGCTGCCGCGCCGCGTGCCTGCAAAGCTGGTATGTTACGCTGAAAGGCGGTTATACCGGCTTTACAGATACAGAAACTGGTGTGTTATGCAGAAAGGTAGCCTGGTATCCAGCCTTGTTAGCTTTAGTCCGCTTCCCAAGATCCTGTTAGCGGGGAGCGGATCTTGGGAAGCGGACTAAAGCTAACAAGGCTGGATACCAGGCTAGCAGAAAGGCGGTTGTACCGGCTATACAGATACAGATACTGATACAGATAGATCATGGAGTTAACTCATGGTTATTCTTACCCTGGATGCCAGACTATCTCAGAGGCAATATACAGGATAGACTGGGAAGCTCAGAGTCTAACTGAGCTGTGTCTATGGTAAAATTTCCTTGGGACAGGTTGGCCTGGAGCTGAGGAGCTAGCCTGTATACTCACTCCGGGCCCTGAATGTGATACCCAGTCTAGCCAGATTTCTGTACTACATGTGCATAGCTTTCCACAAGTAATACTTTCAATGTATACCTGTAGCTGAAATTGTTACAAATTTGAACAACTGCACAAGCATGAGCTGCAGATGGTGCACATGTCAACATTAACCCTAGGGGGAAAGGGGGATGCAAACTGATACACTGTACATGTACAAATGTACCAGTTTATGCCATCCAAAATTATTGCTGTATCATTGTCCAACAGAAGATTAACAGTCACTTTATCCAATCCAAACAGTTTTGTTTAATTTTTCACATCACTGACCATGTAAAACTTGCTGGAAAGGAATGCCTTTATATGAGTGACAGCCTGCTAAGTATAAAATGACTTGCGTGGTCTTGCCTTCAATGAGTCATTTGATCAGAGCTACCAAAACAAACAAGCATCAGTCTAAAAGCCTCATATATTTAGCAAATGCTTTTAGCCATGCATATCTGACATCCCATAACTCATGTAGGTATCCTATATAAACTACTACTGTAAATCACCTTATTTTTACACTAGCAAAATATTGCAGCCAAAGAAAAAGGGATTTACAAAAAAAAAATGTATATGTTTATGGAACTGTATGTTTAGTTCAATGTGGTGACAGGTGCAGAAGAAAGAAAGCCAAATTATTTGTGAACAGTAATGATAAATTCACGGTACAGAAATGACTACTAAAATTGCTGCTAATATAGTGATTTTTACAGTAATCTCCAAGCAGATCTTTTGGTGTCTTCAAGACTGTATCAGGCAGTATCCATTTGCCACCCCATTTGGCATGCATAAAAAAAATACCAGTACAAAAATGAAAGCCTGATAAAAATGTCTAAAAACACATAAAAAAAGAAGGTGAAACCTACACCTCTGCTTGGAGTGTAATATAAACTATTTGAACAATTCAATATAAAGCGAATATAAAGTGACTTTAACAGTAATCTCCAAGCAGATCAGAAAGCCTGATAAAAATGTTTAAAAACACATAAAAAAAGGTGAAACCTACACCTCTGCTTGAATGTAACATAAACTACTTGAACAATTCACTTACAACAATATACCTCTGTCTAAGATATAATTCTTGTGACATTATCTAGAAGGACACTGACAGCTGGTTTTAGGGAAGTGAGATGTCACCATGCTGAGATGTCAATCAGGAGAAAGATCTGCTCGCTGGCAGCACCTAACTGAAAACAGGTGCCCCGCAACCAATCAATCATCTTGATCTATAGGGACAGAAAGCACAGGGCAAGAAATGGGCACAGGGTTGGGGTTTTTATTTCAACAGTTCCCTCAAAACTGTCTTAACAATTATAGTCACCAAACTGATGGCATAATTCAGAACACTAGCAGTACTTGTTGCTAGAAGTAGACAGTGCATGAATGCTGCAAAAAATGTAACAGTTTTTAACTTTGTAGATATGATCTCTAAAAGATATAGACATTGTTGTCCTATCTGTATGGATCAGGGCCATTTTTGTTAGTACTATACCAATCTGCTTATTGCTAGCGATAGTATGCTGTAACGTTACTTCAAGATGTGACAGATATGATCTCTAAAAGAAACAGACATCATGCCCGTAGCCAGGATTTTGAATGGGGGGGTTCTTCCCACTGCTCGAGGGGACAGCGCCGTAGGCGATGTTACTAGGGGGGTCCGGGGGCATGCTCCCCCGGAAAATTTTGAAAAATGAACCTTCTAAAATGGCATTTTGTGCATGTTTGAGAGGATTTCCAAGAAAAAATCAGAGATAAATTTTTATTCAATGACATAGAGCAGTTTTTCTACATAAGATGTGGACCAAAAAGTGGACCTTTACATAAAATGTGGACCAAAAAGTGGACCTTTACATAAAAAGTGGACCAAAAAGTGGACCTTTGAGCCTTGTGGGGGGGTTCTTCCGAACCCCCGAACCCCCCCTGGCTACGGGCATGGACATTCACAAATCGTTGTTGTATCTGTACTGGGCCTTGGCCATTTTTGGTACTACCAATCTGATTGTTGCTAGAAGCAATTAAGAATTATACGCCGCAATTAAGAATTGTGACACTTTTTGTTACATAGATAGGATCTTGAAAAGATACAGAATATTTCACAAATTGTTGTCGTATCTGTGCTGCCCTTTACCATTTTTGGTACTACCAAATTCCCCGTTTGTTGCTAGACGCAAATAAAATGTGGATCTTTTTGTTTTATAGATGTTCTGTGAAAGATACAGACATTCTCACATTTTTGTCGTATCTGTCCTGGGCTTTTGCCATTTTTGGTGCTACAAATCTGCGTGAGTTTACAAAGACCAGTTCCCCGTTGTGGTTTTTGGGAAGCAGCATTGTTGGTCCTGGCACCGAGTATGTATAGTCTAGACCCATCCGTGTTGAAAGTTTGTCTGAAGAAGTTACTCAGACCTTCACCGATGTCTTCTAAGGAATGAGAAGAATTTTTGGTTTGTCTCTGAGAAGTTGACAACCTTGACAGTTTTAGTTTCAAAGTTGTTAGAAGGTTTTAAGGTCCATTCAAGGAAGGGGGCCCGCAAGCCCTTTTCGGTAGAGTTTAATCGGCCGTTTTAATTCTATGTAGAGTGTAGACGGACCGCTCTAATTCAACGTAGAGCGTAATTGGTGCATTTTTAATGTAGAGCGTATTAGCCGTTTTATTCTACGTAATGCGTTGTAGCCACTTGGAATTTATCGTAAAGCGTAATCTAGAGCTCAGCTCTCGCAATTTAGAGTAGAGTGTTGTCGGGTCCCACCCATGCAGGCCCCCTTTTAGAAGGTTAAGGTCCGTTCAAGGAAGTATACAGATGTTGAGAGAAGTTCCTATGTGAAGGAATTTAGAAGCGCTTTTATTGTCAACTTGCCTAAAAGTTACAGAAAACCAGAAGCTGTATATGTAACTTTGTATGACTTACTAGTACATGTAGTAGCCAAATATATGGCCATACCATTGAGGCATGTGTTTTGAATTACTGGTTGGTATCTCAACTTTGAATAACACACAAACCATTGGTAATATTATCTATATGGATGAAACTTATTTCAATCTGTACATGCAATCAAAGAACTGTTGTCTTGAAGGTGTTCCAAAGAGTCTCCCTTGTCTACAAGGTTATAGCCTATGACCGCCTTAATTAAGCCATCCTAGCAGCCCATGTACATGTATGGCACCTATTAAACATTACCTAGAACTCACCTAATAACAATCCCCTTAATACAGCTTTCTATCAAACTTTATATTGGAGCAAAACTACCCACTATATAAGCTATGAGAAGACACTTACTTGCAGTGCAAGCTCCCATCTTGATTCACCCCCATGTATGACCTAAAGATCTAATCTGTCATCACTAACTAGCAAGCCCATTGGTTCTCATGCCTGTCAATCATCACTAAGTCGCAAGCCCATTGGTCAGAGTCAGGAGAGGGGTGGGGCCAGAAGCGGCTATAGAAGATTGCCATAATTAAACACAGGTGTAGATTTACTAGCCTCTACCAGGCTTTCGAGGTATTTGGAAAGAGTAGATTATTGCAGGATAGACAGATAACATGCCAGGGGAGTTGGTCTGCTAAAGGAGTACATCATTTAGAAGCCAATCTGCAAATGGGGTTTGCACCCTGTTTTGAGATTGAATCATTTCGTCAATCATCTATTGGCAGCTGCGCTCTTTATGAGTTTCTAGTTCTCCTTTCTCCTACAAAGTGAGGGTAGTCTAGGGTCATCCCATGGCAAGCACTCAGGTTTAGGCTTCAGCCTACTTCTATACTTTTGATGTGTTGTTAGGTGTTTTTAATTTTTTTCGGGCGTTAGTTTTGTGTATTCTTTAGCAGACTAACTCCCCTGGCATAGTATATATCTACATGTTTTTGGCCAATTACCACTCTTTCCATCCACTTCTGAAGAAGCCTGGTAGGGGCTAAAAAAAAATAGCACTAGAACAGTGGCTAGATCATTATCTGTTATAGTTAGTGTTGATCTGTTGTGAATACAGAAGCTGCCAGCCCTGATTAGTGTTAATTGTCCCTGATGACTAGAGAGGAGGGGCAGAACTGATCCTTTCCATCCTTTGCTCCGCCCATGTCTGGACATGACCATAAAAGTCAGCATGGGGGTGTTGGGCCGTACCACTTTCCTACTGGTTCTAGGGGGACTAATCTAATCTCCAAGCAGATGTTTCGGTGGCCGCAAAAGACAGTATCAAATTGGCCAGGCAGTATCCATTAGTCAGACAGTAATCATTGTCCAATTTGATACTGTCTTTTGTGGCCACAGAAGGTTTTGGTAGCTGCAATTTCCATGCTGCAATCAAGGAGGCTAAAATCAAAAGCTCCTTCAATGCTGCAATTAATACAGTTTTAAATTGGCCTAGGTAATATCCAAACATGATTTGGCT